TGGAATATAGCATTTCCCTACATTTCCTGCATAATTAGGTTAAAAACAAAAAGATTTCACAATCTCCATGGAATATTTCTCTCATAATTCTTTTGATATTTCCATTTAAACCTTCATTACCTTTCATGTCACTGAACTTTTTAATGTGCTAGCCTGTGAGAGTGCTAGGGACAGATTTGTGAATAATTTAAGAGAAAACCCTCAAACAGTGTACCATGTGAGAGGAGGTCATTAAGATTAGGATGAGTGGGAAATAAATGTCTAGAACTAATTTGAATGACCACAAATCTACCCTAGAAGAAAAAGGGTGAGATACATAGAAAGGTTCCTAATCCTTCTAAATAATCCAGAAGTTTTGTAGGGATATAATATTGAGAGTCTTTGACACTTTAGTCTGTTCTGTATTTATAGCTGGCCAGTAAAAGCCTCTGTAGACTAACATTTCATTTCCAATTATTGTTTGCAGTACATGGTTAAACTGGGGATGTGTGGGTAGCAGAGTAGTTAATTTATTTCAGATTGGAGCCTCTGTTGGAAGCCATTTGGTTATTTTACAGTGGAACTACTAGATGAAGTGGAACAAGGCTCAGTGAGAGAAAACACATCGTCTGTTAGGTAAGATGGAATCATTTTCTTACTTATGATGTTTCCCAAATGTGCACATTAGGGTAGAAAGCCTTAACTCTAATTCACTAGCTGCTTAATTCCTTGGCATGAGGAAATAAAAATGAGAAGAAATATATAGGCTGGGCGCGGTGGCTCAGGCCTGTAATCCCATCTCTTTGGGAGGCCGAGGTAGGCAGATCACGAGGTCAGGAGTTCGAGACCAGTCTGGCCAACATAGTGAAACCTCATCTTGACTAAAAATACAAAAAATTAGCTGGATGTGGTAGTGTGCTGAGGCAGGAGAATCAAGTGAATCCAGGAGGTGGAGGTTGCAGTGAGCCCAGATCGCACCATTGCACTCCAACCTAGGTGACAGTGTGTGACTCGTATCAAAAAAAAGCGTGTGTGTGTGTGTGTGTGTGTGTGTTCATCCATGTTAGATAGCACCTCAAATCAATGTAAGCAGTGGATGAATGGGTCCTCTGGTTAATGAAGGACCACAGCCCTTAACGTTAATGTGTGGCAGAATCTGTGTGTGGCATCAGCAACAAAGAACAAGTCCATCTGGATGTTGTTTCTTGTAAGGATAGTCTAAATGCAGAAAGAACTGGGATGGAGAAAATGAAAGTTGAAGTCCTAAATGTATGTGAGTCTGTTTCTCCGGCCCCTGAAGCACCAACTACCTCGCTGCTGAATGACCTCAAGTACAGCCCATCAGGTGAGTATGGCGGCTCTGAATTTTCTAGGCTCTCCTTTTTTTTGAACCAAGTCGGTCAAATTCAACTAGACTCTCTTCACTGTTTAGGGTTGGTGTAACCCTGAACCAAGATGCTCTATAGAATGCTTAGTTGAGCCACTGCTTCTGGGTTCTGAATTAAGATAAAATATTGTGATTTATTTATTTTTATTTTTTATTTATTTATTTTTTTTGAGATGGAGTTTCACTCTTGTTACCCAGGCTGGAGTGCAATGGCGCAATCTCGGCTCACTGCAACCTCCGCCTCCTGGGTTCAGGCAATTCTCCTGCCTCAACCTCCCAAGTAGCTGGGATTACAGGCACGCGCCACCATGCCCAGCTAATTTTTTGTAGTTTTTTCAGTAGAGACGGGGTTTCACCATGTTGACCAGGATGGTCTTGATCTCTTGACCTCGTGATCCACCCGTCTTGGCCTCCAAAGTGCTGGGATTACAGGCTTGAGCCACCGCGCCCGGCAGGTGATTTATTTTTTAGTTTAATAATTGAGTTCATACTGCATGTGCACTCATTTATTGGGGCACACTCATTCATTGGGGATTCTGAAGTATGGTATCCCTCCTCTTATTGAGCAGCATACAGATGCTAAATAAGGTAAATAAATTAAATATATAGTGTAATAGTGCCAAATGCTAAGGAGAAAAAAATAGAAGTAATATGTAGGGAGGGTGGTTTTGCAATTTTAGGATATCCAGGACAAGTCTTGCTGAAATGATAATATTTGTGTAAAGATCTGAAGGAGGTGAGGGACCAAGCTCTAGGGATATCTTGGGGAAATGTGCTTTAGGCTGGGGAAAAAAAAAAGCAAATACAAAGTCACTGAGATAGGAACATACCAGGATCTTGAAGGAACAGCAAGGAGATCAGAGCAGCTGGAGCAAGGAGAGAAGCAGTACATGAGATGGAACAGGTGAGTCAAAGAGGAGCTCTTAGAGCCTTGCGAGGACTTAAACTTTTTTTTTTTTTTGAGACAGAGTCTCACTCTGTCCCCCAGGCTGGAGTGCTGTGGCTTGATCTTGGCTCATGGCAACCTCCACCTCCCAGGTTCAAGTGATTCTCCTATCTCACCCTCCTGAGTAGCTGGGATTACAGGCATGTGTGCCACTATGCCCAGCTAATTTTTAATTATATATATATATTTTTTGAGACAGAGTCTCGTCCTATCCTCCAGGCTGGAGTGCAGTGGGTGGATCTTGGCTCACTGCAACCTCTGCCTCCCAGGTTCAAGTGATTCTCCTATCTCAGCCTCCTGAGTAGCTGGGATTGTAGGTGTGTGCCACCACACCCAGCTAATTTTTTTTTTTTTGGAGACGGAGTCTTGCTGTGTCACCCAGGCTGAAGTTCAGTGACAGGATCTCAGCTCATTGCAACCTCCACCTCCCAGGTTCAAGCAATTCTCCTGCCTCAGCCTCCCAAGTAGCTGGGACTATAGGTGTCTCTACTAAAAATACAAAAAAATAATTTTTAAAATTATTTTTTTGTATTTTTAGTAGAGACACCTTTTTTGTATTTTTAGTAGAGACGGGGTTTCACCATGTTAGCCAGACTAGTCTCAAACTCCTGATCTAGTGATCCGTCCGTCTTGGCCTCTCAAAGTGCTGGGCTTACAGGCATAAGCCACCATGCCCAAGTGGGAGTTAAACTTTTACTCTGAAGTGAGACGAGGAACCTTTGGAGGTTTTTTGTTTGTTTGCTTTTATTAAAAACAAAGAAGGCTGGGGTCTCATGCCTGTAATCCTGGCACTTTGGAAGGCCAAGGCTGCTGGATCATGAGGTCACGTGATTGAGATCATCCTGACCAACATGGTGAAACCCCATCTTTACTAAAAATATAAAAATTAGCCTGGCGTGGTGGCGTATGCCTATAATCTTAGCTGCTTAAGAGGCTGAGGCAGGAGAATCACTTGAACCCAGGAGGTGGCAGTTGCAGTGAGCTGAGATTGTGCTACTGTACACTAGCCTGGCAACAGAGCAAGACTCTGTCTCAAGAAAAAAAACAACAAGGCCAGGCACAAGTGCTTATGCCTGTAATTCTAGCACTTAGGGAGGCCAAGGTAGGAGGATTGTTTGAGGCCAGGAGTTCAAGACCAGCCTGGGCAACATATGGGATCCCATCTCTATAAAAAAATAATAAAATAAGGCTGGGCATGGTGGTTTATGCCTGTAATCCCAGCACTTCAAGGGGGCTAAGGTGGGTGCATTGTACAGATTGCCTGAAGCTAGGAGTTCACGTCCTGCCTGGGCAACATGGTAAAACATCATCTCAATTTAAAGAAAATATTTAAAAATTTTGGCCAGGTGCAGTGGCTCATACCTGTAATCCCAGCACTTTGGGAGGCTGAGTCAGGCACATCACCTGAGGTCAGGAGTTTGACACCAGCCTGGGTAACAGTGAAATTCTGTCTCTACTAAAAATACAAAAATTAGCTGGGTGTGGTGGCAGGCCCCTGTAATCCCAGCTACTCAGGAGGCTAAGATGGGAGACTCGCTTGAACCCAGGAAGCAGAGGTTGCAGTGAGTAGAGATTGCACCATTGCACTCCAGCCTGGGTGACAAGAGGGAAACTAGTCTCATAGTATATTCTTTGAAGTATTCAAGATATAAACCTGGCCGGGCGCGGTGGCTCAAGCCTGTAATCCCAGCACTTTGGGAGGCAGAGGCGGGTGGATCACGAGGTCAAGAGATCGAGACCATCCTGGTCAACATGGTGAAACCCCGTCTCTACTAAAAATACAAAAAAAATTAGCTGGGCAT